CGACAGGAAGACCTCGTGGAATGTATCTAGTCCTGCGTCCTCTGCCATAGTATTCATGATGATTTCCAGCATCAGACTAATGAGAATGTGCGATGCTGAAAAACATCATGAATACTAAGGCAGAGGATGCATGATTAGGTACTTACCACAAAGTCTCGCTCTCATTCCAACCAAGTTGCGAAAACGAGGTCAAAGTAACAATATGCAGCTAAAGGAGACTGTGGTCAAACAAAAGGCCAGGCCATCTAGTTATTCATATCTACGGTATACGAATACTTTAATCAAAGGTATGAAGACCAAGATTGTGTGGCCTTTTGTGTGGTCGCAGTCTCCTTTCGTTGTATAGAAGTTGTTTGACCTTGCTTTCGCAACTTGCCATTGGTAGGAAGACTTAGAGGAACGACCTAGTCCGGAATCCATTGTATGCATGATTGTTTCCAAAGTTGGACCGTGGACGTGGTACTTTCCCAGACGTTTCGCCGGCATCGTAGTAGGCATCGTCAGTGAGTCTCTCCATTCGTAGCACAATAGTACAGCTCATATCTTGTCTCCTTGACGAGCTGTACTATGATGCTAAGAATGGCGAGACTCACTGACGATGCCGACTACAATGCCGGCGAAACGTCTGGAAAAGTACCACGTCCATGGTCCAACTTTGGAAATAATCATGCATACAATGGACTCCGGACTAGGTACGTCCCTCCAAGTCTTCTTACCAATGTGACCAAGTTGCGAAAACAAGGTCAAACAACTTCTCTACGAATACTTTATTTGCCAGTCAAGTATATTGTGAAAGAAGATCAGTCCTAAAAACCAAGCACAACGAAGCTTTGAAAAATTCTAGCCATCTGACTTTGAGACACAGTGAAATACGCCTAATTGTTCTATAGCTACCAGATAACCCTCAGAATAAAATATAGTTAAGGCTGGGGAACTGTGAAAATAGAAGCCCAATATCTAGGTGTATAAATAGTATTGGATTTATGCCAAATAAATGAATGTAGCTTTATCGGTAATGTCTAGCATATCAAAATATTGAAGATATGAAGAGCTGTATATATTTAATAAAATAAATGAAGTTTGACCTTGTTTTCGCAACTTGGTCATATTGGTAGGAAGACTTAGAGGAACGCACCTAATCTGGGGTCCATTGAATTCATGATACTTTCCAGAGTCGGACCTAGAAGTGGTACATTCCCAGACGTCTTGCCGGATTCGTCAGTGAGCATTGCCATTCTTAGCACCACACTACAACTCGTCAAAGAGACAAGTAAAGCCGATCCTTTGGCCAATTGTCTGCTAAACAATCGTGGTATCTCTCCTTCTCCTCTAAGATAATTACCAATCCTATATCGTCGTATCACACCTTCACTATCACAAGTCTTACTTGCTTATTTAAATGTGATATGATGTGTCCCATTAAGCAGATTGCATAAGAGTTCTCAACACTCCACACTGGCTTTCTCGCCCCGCCTTCACCCTTGCCCTGGGAATGTTGGTCAGAGTCTGCCATATTGTTACGCGGTCCCTCCCTCTTGCCCCGTAGGATCCGTCTGCTATCTCCCTGGTTCAAGTATCTCACTAGAATCCTGCCACCCAATCTATGCTACTCGAGACGTTATTTCCCACACTCTGCCTCTGGGAGACTAACTTGAGGCTAAAGACCCCGAGTAATTCTCCTGGTTAAGCCTTTGCTTCATGGACCATGTATATGATCAAACACGTCTACTATTATCCAACTAGCTTTAGTCTCCGCCGCATAAAAACAAGTAGAACCACAACAGTTGTGGTTTGGCACACAAGAGACTAGGGCATAGGAAGTCATAGACTTGGCACTGTGATAGAAGCACGATAGTTGCAGCGGAGACTAGAACAGACTGATCCTATGGAGCAAGAGAGAGACTTCGATAAGACCTATGGAAGTAGGACCGCGTAACAATATGGCAGACTGATCCATATTCCCATCACAAGGGTGAAGGGGGGTGAGGGGGTGAGAAAGGCAGTTTAGGGTGTGTAAAGTCCTCGCCGTCCTCGATTACGCCGTATTCGAGGACTTACATCAGATGATGCCCATGCCCATTCCAGTGCCTGGGAATCTTTCTCTCCTTAGGCTTCGCAGCAAACACACACACACATTAACACAATCCTAGTACCCTAGGATTAGATGGGAATATGAGATGTACTCACCCTCTAAGCTCCACGTTGGATTTCTTCCCTCCTCCCTTCAGCCTTGTACCGGGTATGTGGATCAGAATCTGCAATAATGTTACGCAGTCATCCTTCCCTAAGTCTTATCAGAGTCTTTCTCTTGGCCCATATGATCCGTTGGCTATCGCCCTGGTTCAAATATTTCACTCGATTCTTGCCACCCCATCTGCGCTCACCGAGGCGTTATTTCACGCACTCTGCGTCTGCGAGACGAACTTGAGGCTAAAGTCCCCGAGTAATTCTGATAATCAAGCCATTTCTTCATGGACCACGTCTATTGTAAAACAGGCCTACTGTCAGCCAACTAGTTCTAGTCTCCACCGCGTATATCCTGTTTCTATCCCTAAATACCAAGTTTATCGCTTCCGAAGCCCTAGTCTCTTGTGTGCAAACCCATAAATGTTGCGGTTCAATATTGAACCTAATCAAAGCAAGCAGTATCACAACATTCGTGGGTTGGCACACAAGAGACTAGAGCATAGTAAGTCATGTTTGTCGTCGTTCCTAAATTTTAAAGCTAAAATAAGAACTATGCATAAATATTGCTTAAATTAAGATTATATATTTCTCCCAAAAGAATTTTGAAGTTACCACTCAGATAGGACTAAATATAAGCTGATGACCTTTACCAAATCGTGTGATTAAGTATAAAAAAGTGCTTTTTCCAGTAAGATGAGAAAACATTTTATTGCATCTAATAGGGCTACATGGCATGTTTATTTATAAATTTTCTTTTTCTTGCTAAAATCTAGCTAAACAAGATGTCCTTTAAGCTTCACGAATGGGTTAAATATCATTCATTTCCAAGTCCTTTATTTGCCATGCAGTAATATCAGCTATATAAGTGATTACCCTACAAATAACGTTAGCCAGACAATTGCTTGTGGCAAAATATATGTTAGAAATTTATAACTTTGCCATGCATTACTTCGACACAAACATTCAAGCAAATCACTCTTATCTAAAATGATGTAAGTTTTATAACAAATTTGTTTGATAAAAAAGGGAGCATTACGACACTAGCTTCCCCTTTGGGAGCTTGTTCAATAAATTCCAATAAAGCCAAAGCAGTAATAGAGCATTTGGACTAAAGCCAAGATGAGTCAAAGCTACATTATAATTAGGAAATTAATTATACCTCATAATAGCATGAGAAATAATGAAGAATAAAAATTCTAAGGTATGAAGACCAAGATGGTGTGGCCTTTTGTGTGGTCTCAGTCTCCTTTCGTTATATAGAAATTGTTTGACCTTGTTTTCACAACTTGGTCATATTGGTAGGAAGACTTAGAGGAACGCACCTAGTCCGGA